CTTGTACTCCTCTTGTTCCAGCACAAACATGTGATGGTTGAAGAACTGTTGCAGTTTCTCATTGGTGAAGTTGATGCACAGCTGCTCCAATGTGTTGAACTGATGTGAGAAACACTACATATTATTATATACAACAAATTACAAATACATTTATCACCTAATTTACGATTGATTGATAAACAATAACCTGACATGGCAAAAAATACTCTCATTTCAATTTGCAAACATTTTGCAGTCAGTTCAGTTCTGTTCGGTTTAATTCAGTCCAATATAGCACTTTTAAGGAGGAGTTTTTTGACAAGGAACTCTTTTCAATCCATTAAGTGCATGTCTAACACTGTAGCAAGGAAAGACCCTCTCGAGCTGAGAAGCATTGGAAGGAATCACACTCGAGGGAAGTTATTGGGGACGTGCTTCTCGGTTATTTAAACTGTATGAAGCAGAATCCACGAGAGAAGGGATTAAGCATCTGGGCAACGGTGTATGCAGTTATTAAAGTGCTCTCCATTTATCTGCATCTAGGGTCCGTATAGTTTAGGTTCAGTAAGAGTTACACATGTTATTTATTTTTACAAATTTTGTTTTTATTTTCTTGGAACAGTGAAGAAATTAATATTTTCTGGTAACAGGGAAGGGAAGACTGTTTCTAAGTGCACAAGGCGCATACAGATAATAGAAGTAAACGAGAAGAATTTTCAGTATTTTGTATCGTCACAGATCTGTTTTTTTTTTCAGATAAGTTTTCGGTTTCTGGAACCCTTAAGCGTATATACTGTTAAAATAGATGTAATTTACGGACGGTATTTCAGGAACGGATTACGTTACTTATTGAAGGATTGCTGTAGTAATGTCTTATATTGAACATAGTTACGAAATAGAACAAATGCTAACATCACTCACATCAAAGATTTCAAAGCCGGCGATATCCAGCACACCAATGAAGAACTGTCTCGGCTGCTTGGTGTCCAACATCTCATTGATACGCATCACCATCCATAAGAACATTTTCTCGTAGACTGATTTACACAATGCCATGGTAGCATTGTTAACCTAGTTCACAAAAACGGGAAGAGAATTGTGTGTTTTATGAGATGTGATAGGCTTATTACTGAAAAACCATATTATTTTAACCCATCTCATTAGTTAGAATAGAATGTAGTATATTTTTCGTTAAATGTATTACATATCCAGAGAATCAATCCAATGTTATCGCTGCATTCCTTACCTGAGGTACAGTCTGCCCCTTGGTCACAAACTCATTCCCGACCTTCACTCTGGGGTAGCACAGAGCCTTCAGCATGTCAGCTGAGTTCAGGCCCATGAGGTAGGCGATTTTATCGGCCACTGAAATATGAATAACATGTTTGGTTAATGATCTATAACTCTGGGTAAATAATTTTATGGTTGAGGTTATCGTATAAGTTACCCTCAGTGC